GACAGTTTCAAGTGGAGTTACGGGCGAAAGAGTGCGTTCACTTTGCGTTGTAATGATGGGTTTGCTTTTCATTGCAATGGTTTAAAACACGAGTGCAGAAAACAGTGGTGATGTTTGTCTCTGGCAGGAGGCCATTGGGAGAGTGTAGTCTGAGAAGTGAAACATTTGGTTGGTTTACCACCTCTGCAAGTCGGCTGTTAATACGTCAGCAGATAAAATGATGTTGTTGTTTTTTCCAGTATGTACGAAGCTTTTGTTTGTTTGTTTGTTTTAACCCATCTCTAGGTCACACAGCATCACACCATCATGGTTCTGATATTGCCAGAATCCAGACAGTCTCCCAGCATAGTTAGTACAGTGCTACTGACAACATTTAATCACAAGATTATATGTGAAGATGTAAGAATTTAATTATGTTTTTTTTCTTTGATATCAAGGCTAATATGATAAACCTGGAAGTGTTGTATCATGTGATAAAAGTTTACAGCATGTATGACTAGCCGGCATAATGACCCAGATAAGAGCTTAAAGTAAAGGTGGTAACGTCTGCAAACAGGCGCACACACAATGTAGAACTCTGTGGAAGTGTGTGTGTGATTAAATAAGACTTTTCAAAAGCAGTAAATAAGTCATAAAGCAATCTGTTGAACTTTGACGTTATATTTTATTTTTTATGGCATTAGGAATGGTGGTGCTGTTTCAGTGGTTCTGCAAAGGTTCACTTACCCCCAAAAAGTTGCTGGTAACAGGAGTCACTCCTTCAATAAGCAACAGACCAACAGACCTCTGCTTGTTCATGGAGCCACTTTAATTTGGTTCAGACATCATTTCCATACTTCTAACTGGGGATTAGTATTTGCTCAAATAAAGTGGTTTTGGTGTGTTTAGTAAAGACCAGCAAGCTACCGAACCCGACATTTGGTCTCTCTCTCCCTCGTTGTCTTTTCACGTTTCCTTCCACCTCTAAGCACCTTGGACAGGACCTACAGCCATTCCACCTCTGATTAAACCTAATAATTAGCTGTGTGTGTGTGTGTGTGTGTGTGTGTGTGTGTGTGTGTGTGTGTGTGTGTGATTTTTATCATAGTTTTGAGGACATCCTATTCTTCTCCAATCATCAGCCAGCTCCCTGTGGGCAGACACTAATTAAAATCAATAGTCTCCTCAGACTGACACTGAAGGTTCAGCTACAATGAAGTGATGCGACCGACAGACAATAATCTTCGAATTTCACTGCTTTCACGAGGATGGCTATTGTGAAACAAGCAAAAAAGAAGAAGAAAAAAAAGTCCAGGGAAACACATGGTCTGACACATTAAATTGCGGTTAATAAAACCAGCGATTCACAGTTCAAACAGCTGAGTGTCGTTGTTAATTAAGCCTGGTGTTGACAGTGAAGTCTCTGTTAGCACTGGCAGGGTGAGGAGATGAGGGGGGAGGACCAGGGAAGAGGTAGAAGGTCACAGGGACCTCGTTGACCTGAAGATGTGCTTCGAGATAAACACAAAACCCCTTTGTGTATACACAACAGGCAACAGCACTGAGGTACATCACTACAGTGCTTCTAACAATACGCAGAACACTGACTCTGGTCGCCACGTGAGCAGCTAGAACAGAACAGAACAGAATGCTTTTATTGTCATCATACACAAAGTCCAACGAAATTAAAAGACAACTCAGTGGTGCAGAAGCATAAAAAGTCAAATAAGAATATATATATACATGTAGGAAGTATGTACAGCTAGCCAAACGGTAGAATAATAAATATAGTGCACTGTTAAGGCAGGAACACTGTGGATACATGAGAAATATAGATAATATAAATAAAGAATTATTATAAGTAATATAATATATAGAAAAATATACACAAAATGCAGTATCACATATAAGAGACAGGGACACATACACCTCCAGGACTTCCTCTCTGTAGGCCGTCTCATCATCGTTGTGAATCAGCCCAACCACAGTCGTGTCATCCGCAAACCTGGCAAAGATGTTGCTGCTGTGGGCTGGTGCCCAGTGGTGGGTGTACGAGGTGTACAGCATGGGGCCGAGCACACAGCCCTGAGGCACCCCAGGGCTCACTGTCAGCACCGAGTGGTGTGGCCCCAACCTGCAGACGGGTGGTGAGAAAGTCTCTGATCCATGTGCAGGTGTGCTCGCCGATGCCCAGACTGTGCAGTCTGCTTGGAACAAGTGTGTTAAAAGCAGAACTGAAGTCCACAAACAACATCCTCGCATAGCTGCCAGACTGTTCAAGATGTTGACACACTGTGTGGAGGGCTGTGTTGATGGCATCACCTGTGGACCTGTTGGCTCTGGATGCGAATTGGTGCTGCTCAAGGCTGGGAGGCAGGAAGGATTTGATGTGCCTCAGCACCAGCCTCTCAAAGCGTTTCATCACAGAGCCACAGGTCTGTAACCATTCAGACTGCTGACCGACTGTTTCTTGGGGATGGGTACAATAGTGGCAGATTGTAGGCAGCTAGGGACTGTGCAGGCAGCCAGTGAGAGGTTGAAATGACAGTAAAAACCTCTGCCAGCTGGTCTGCACAGCCCCTCAGTACCCTCCCCGGATACCATCGGGACCAGCAGCCTTTGACGGGTTCACACCCCGGAGCACCCACCTGACCTCAGAACAGCAAACGTTGGGTGATGCTTACCTTCACACGCTGCACTGCAGCTCCAAATGAAGAGTTCATTTGCAAAAACAGATCACTCCATCTTCACAAACCTGAAGAAAACCCACTGTTCCATCGTCTACCTGAGACAAGATCAATTGAACTTAAGTTATCTCTATTGTTGTCATTTCTACTGAGTCAAATCGGCTCAACTTCGGTTTGATTGATGTTATCTCAAGCAAAGAACAAAAAAATAAGTTTTCTGAAAATCTACAAAATCTGTTTTTGCAAATGAACTCTTCAAATGCTCACCAGATCACCACATGTGTAGTAATCCACAGCTGTAATGCACTATTTTTGCATGTTTACATTTTTTTGGGTGAAGCTATATGTTTGTAATCAGTTTTTCAACCTTCAGATTTTTAGCATTTGTCTGGGCCTGAGAGCCACAAACCAAGATTACAACAGGTGGATGTTGGTGTGCTACTCAGACAGTCGCATTTCCCCCGAGATCGAAGAAAGAAAAACACACGGTGATGCAGCATCTACACACCGATTAATGTGTGCTGACAACATGACAAAACAACTCTTAACAAAACTACAAGTCTACATGTTTGATAGTCTGTCAGGCTGTACATAAACTAGTCTTTCATCCAAATGTAGTAGAAAATTTACCCAAGAAAATTTGCAAAAGAAAAAGTCTTCTATCACTCCAACCATCAGCAATCGGTAAGTATTAGGAGCTGGTTAGGTGAGATAAACAAATATCGTGTTACCTGTCAGGTGCTGCTGCCTGAACCAGACGGCATAATGACATGAACGAGCTCCTCCCACAGCTTAAAGTGTGTAAAAGTTTTGGCTGTGGTTTCGTCGTTGCTTCACACAGATCTGACGTTTTCGTGTATTTTTCACTTCCTCCAATGGAGCTAAAGTCGCCGTTGTACTTTATTGCATTTCTTTTTCTTCTACTTCAGTCAAGAATTAAACAAACAAAAAAAAGTTTTTGCAATAATCAGCGGCTGCAAACACTTACAGACACAGTGGTGTCGCCCAATGACTATGGCATGTTGATGTGAAGCAGATGCCACATTTATCACGGTCCAGTCTTAGCTAACATAATAATCACCAAAGTCATTAGCAGTTGGTAGGATAACGAACTGGGACACCAACAATGTCTGCGTGACAACCGTTGGCAGGTTCATGCAACTGAGCATGAATGACGAGATAAAACGATAAGATGCTGCCGTCTCCAACTGCAATAGATGCTCATCCCTAAACTGATGGGAATGTGTTATGATGTAGAAACTCAATGCAATGACTGATCTGAAGACAACGAATGCAGGATGATGGCTGTGAGCATTTTAAATCCAAACGTACTGATATGTATCACCATCAGCGTAAGTGGAAAGTAAAACAGTGGAGAACTAAAGAGAAAAAGAGGAACAATAATATTGGCTATTAGGCATAAACAGCAGTGTGTGGTGGCCTCTTGCACTGTGTATGTATAACTGATGTGTTAATAGTGGGATGGGTGTAGGTGATAGCAGTGTAGCAGTGTTTAGTCCCATCCCACATATTAGCAGCTGCTTTCTATCCATCCATCACACACAGCCAGTGTGCCTGAAACACGCCGCCAAATAGACACATTTATCAAAGCCTCTGAAGATGGCGACACACACACACACACACACACACACACACACACACATCACCTCGGCCAGACCTACAGTAAGTGCTTCGGCGAGATGACAGTCGGTGCAACACGCACACACACGCTCTCTAATAGTGTTGTGGTTGACAGAGTTGTATGTGATGAATTGTATGTCTCTTCCAGACTTCTCAAAGTTAATTTTCTAAAGACTGCTGCCCATTGGAGAGGAGAGGAGATGATAGGAGACTGGTCAGCGTGTGTGTGTGTGTGTGTGTGTGTGTGTGTGTGTGTAGGATGAGATGTCAGTATCATTCAGGGGGTTTCTATCTGAAGGCTTTAGCCTGTGTTGGCGGCTGTTTAGACGAAGGATTTACTCTTATTCGCACCATTTTGTGTCACCAAATGAATTAAAGTGAATGTTTACTGCAGGCGTATGGCAGCACAGGAATCATGTTCTGAGGGTTTTTTGGGGTTTTTTGGGCCTGTGCTGCACAGGAAGCGATGCATTTTACACTTCAGCACTTGTGCAGTTGATGGAAGAAAACCAGACTTACTTGCGGCTGTATGCTTTTTGCTAAACAGTCAAGTTTAAATTCATTTTGTTTGTTGAACTTTCAAATGAATATAAAAGTCATTATTATTTTATTCTAACTTTCTAAATTTTGTCTCACCAGCAGTCGTAAGTTTCATATTTGGCAACCTTCGACCACCAGAATGTAAAGACATTTCCACCATATGGGCAAGACTTATTACATTCTGAACAGCTTGGAGGCATGAAGGTTATGGACCAGTAACAGTCACACTTAGTTTGTAGACTTTGTAAAGACCAGAGAGAAAGGAGACGATATACAAGAAGACACTAAATCTAAATCTTAGTTACACATGTTCTCCTCTCTGAAGTCCTGCTGGCTCACCCTAGAGGCTGCTGTGTTCATTGCACCCTACACGAGAACAAAATAAACCACATATTAAAGAGTTAATTCAGTTATTTTTAGCATATTCTTTGACCAACGACGTGCAAAGCATTAATGTGAATGACGCAAGAGGAAAACAGAGATGGAGTTTCTGGGGAGTTTAGTCAGAAGCTGAGCTGAAGAAAAACACACGGGCAGTGTTGAAAGACATATTTCTCAATTTAAGAAGCGTAAAGTCCATGAAAGTTCAAGTAAAAGCTTAAATAAGCAAAAGTGCAGACACATTATCAATAAAAGCACCTGGCCAATGGAGCTGATGTAGTTTTATATATAACATAATGTCATTAATACAATCTGTCAATAGAAATTCATGCTTTCTGTTTGTCGGTAGAAGTTACTGACTATAAACTGATGGGAAGAAATTAGATATATTTTTTTACATTTAAAATAAATATAAAAGCCATAAAAGTTTGCAAAAAGTAATGATGTCTAAATGCAGAAACACCTGTTATCATGCATGCAGCTCCACCCAAATTCACACTGAGACTTTATATGTTGGAAACCTTTTTTTATATTAAATAACATTATACATTTTTATTGATCATTGTTAAACATCCACACAGCTGCTTCTTTTTCTCTCCTTGTTCTGCTACAGAACCCAAAACCATAGCGGAACATCGCAACTGATAAATGATTCAGGGTTCTAATGAGTGTTGATTTGCTCTTAATGAGTTGTTATCATGAGCTGATGAATGCAAAGAGAAAGAAGAGAGGAGGAAAAGGAGGACGGAAAAGAAAAGATGGAGGGAAGACAGGAAGGAAAGAACGGAGGAAACAAGGAAGGATGTTAGGAAGAGAAGAACAATTTGACAGAAACTTTTCTGTTTCACTTTTATTCAGTGAGGTGCTGTCCTGCCTAATGTTGGCCACCGATCATCTCCCACTCGCTCACACACACACTCTCCATGACAATTAGCTAGCTAACTTGCTGTGTGTGTGACAAAGTGCTGCCATTATCCCCCTCTGACAAAAACCTCTCTGAGGGCAATTTCTAGAAATTATTTCAACAATGGAGCACGCCAAATGTCAGCATTCACTAATTATGTTTATGCTAATTGTTAATTAGTGTCTTAATGCGATGATCTTAATTAACAAAAGGTTTGTGGCTGCCGCTGGCAACCGGGCTGCCATAAAGGTGATGTAATTGCTGCACAGTGCTTGATGAACATGGATTTATTGGGCACTTTAAACTACAGTGCTTACCATTTACTTCTATGATGGATAGAATGGAGCAGCTAGTGAAGAGTGAATACAGAGGAGGACTGACTCTGTGTGTCTGTGGTTTTTATCCTGGACTGCTCCAGTCTCACTGTCCATGAGGAAACAAAAACAACTTCATTGCTTCACATCGTTGTTTCTGCAGTGAGTTTGCAGACAGAAGAGCAGAGCAGCAGAGTGGATTCAGGACTATAGAAGGGATTCAGTGCCAAAGCAGGGCAAACCACAAACAATCCAGAGTTGAGCTTCATGTTTTTTCGATAGGTGTTTATGGTCTACTAGTTCACGTCAAAGTGGTCCAACCAACAGCCCACTAGTAGTGTCACAATGCGACTTTGAAGTTTGGCCCATAATGGTTTTATTATGAACATTTCAGTGGCAAACTGGGCCAAGAAACAGGAAGTGCTGACTACTGTATTGCGGGTGCAGGTAGTTACTGTGTGCCTCAAACCCAGTGAAAACTCAACTCGCAGGTACGGTAAGGTAAAATAAAAACTTAACTAACCACCACCAAGCATCTATTTCTACCCCATGGTCCTTACAAGTATCTTTAATTCCTCATGATGACCCATGTAAAGTCTGAAGGTGTCTGTGAACGGCCATCTTCAGTGGTGACTAACAGGAAAATTATTTAATGTTAATTCAAACCTACAACACAAGGTATGAAAACATATTCTACTTTTTGGAGAACAGCCAGCTTTTTGTTTGATTTCCAAAGTTTTGACCAGTTTGTAAGAAACAAATTAAAGATATATATCTAAAAACATCACGGCATGCTTTGAATTGTTCACACCTGGCATATGTTTTATCATTTGATTTGAGCTACTTTGATGAGAGCAGTGCTGGAAAAAAAAAAACATCACAAAACATCAACGCAAAAATCTGCGGTGAAGTTCGTTACAATAAAGAATATTTTCGAACGAATAATCCTTGTAAAATGTTTGTCTGGGAAGTACCACAGACTGTATCAGAGATGGACGTAGCTACCATGACGTCACCCGTTGGTTTCTGCACTGAGAACATGAAGCCAGGGTTTTGCTACTTCCTGGTTGACATCTTGGATTTTTGGAGCCAGTGACACAAAAATCGTGGGAGGGGGGCGG